TTTTTTTTTTTTTTTTTTTTTTTGAAAGTTTGAAAAACAAAGCTGTTCAACATCTTTTTTTCCCCCTTAAATTATAAGTTTCAAAAGCCAAAATCTTACCTTTTTTAAAAAAAAAAAATCTTTGATGTCTATTTTTCCAGATATTTTCTTTCTTCCCTACTTTTCTCTCTCTAAAATTTTATTCTCTTCTTATCTGTTTCTCATAGTAACGTATCTTTCATTTTCTCCACTTATTTGAACAAACCTCATAACATTGTCACACTTTATTACACTCTAACAGTATCAACCTCATATTTTTGTGCATTATTTTTGTTGTTGTTTGATATCCTGATATTATTCAAAATCTTATGTATGAAAAAAAACTGACAAAATATACACAAACAATCACAAGATCAGATAAATGACAGAACCAAGCATATCATGACAGCATAACATAATAAATATTTACTAACTAAAAAAAAATTAATTTGTGATAGTTTTAAATTACACGTGTGACTAAGAATAGATTAAACTTGTAGGTTTTAAAAATTACATTGCATGCTTAAACATTTTTACTCGAATCTGAAAATGTTATGAAATTTTCTATTAAAATTTAAAAAAAAAAAAAAAATGACACACCCTCCAAACGCTAAATGGCAAAAACTCAAAAACAAATATTCCACTTAAATATTTAGCGTTTTCTGTAAACTACGGGCATTGAACACCAACACTAAAAAAATATTATGTTAAAAAGAAATATATTTATTTTGAACTATTCTAATCGGATTTGATATATTCTCTTAATATGTTGCTACCTACCTAAGACCGTCTAGAACAGCTCTACGAATATCTTCACTATACGAACTAAGAACTACTGCAACCAATGTCCAGCAAACTACTACCACTGATACAGTATCTGGTAAAAACATGTAATTGCCTCTTTATTTGGGTCTTAAATTCGTCCATCGATGGCCAATTTGGAGGGCAGGTGTGTGGCAACAATTCGGCCAAGCACCCTTCTATACCTGCAAGCGAAAACAATGACTTGAGATACAATGTGCCAAAAAATGAGCTGAAAATAAGTGACTTTGGAATGACTTATGAAAAGGTAAAAAGAGTACATTTAAAAAGACGCCGCATTTCTGGGCGTTCGTTGTTAGGCTCCTAATCCTCCATAAGAGTCATCTAGTGGTTCTTCTTTCTAGCATTAAGTGTAGTCCTTGCCCCTCTTCCTCCCCTTTATTTTTTCTTGCTATGGAAGGTTGATGTTTCCATGAATGTAAAATTCTTTGGAGTTAGTTTGCTCATCCGATTTGAAACTGCTATTCGAGGTTTATGGAGTTTGTTTGTCCAGTAACAGGTGAAATTTTATGATGGAGAAGGTTCTCCTTCACCCTGCTCTAAGGAAAAGGGAATTCTTCTCTAGAGAGCTAATTTTTTTTTGCAGTTCTATAGAGAATGTGGATTAAGAGAAATAATATGATTTCCATCAATGAGATTTTGGTAGGAGGTTTGGTCCCAAGCCAAGTTTAACTCCCTGATTTGGAGGTCTCTGTAAGATAGATCATGTTGCAAACCTCTATTTGGCCCTTTTGTATCCATTCATATTTCAATGAAGGCTTGATTTTTCAATTATTTTCAAGCGAACGAAAATAGAAGTACATGAGAGTTTATCGTTTTGACTGAATTTCACATAGAAAGAACAATCATAATAACAACCGGGCAGCAGGAAGAATATAAGCTAACCCACTTCTCCTATGTTAGTTAATCAATTCCATCAGGAAAGGAAACTACTTATCATTCTGAGCTTAAAAATGAAAGAATAAGCCCTACTAAGAAAGAAATAAAATCCCAAAAGCATGACAGTATCATAACTAACCATAATGAGCTTGTAAAAATTATGGCTCAACAGTTGAGAGGAAGGACTGGATTCCGAAAACAATAAATAAAAGCCCACCTGAGAGAGCAACCTGAAAAGGAGAAACGAAAATTTAATTTTCCTGCTCAACAATGATAACAGTAAGCAACTAGCATGAGAAGAGTGAATCAATTGTGGACTACTATTTTCTCAGATATTTGTGATGCCAAGCTCCTTCCTCCAAGGACTGCAGCAGTTGTACACAATGCCTGTCCCCTGAGAGAGAAATTATTTATGACATTTAACAAATAGGCAGATGTGACAGGATAAATGCAGTAGGAAGTAGGTGACTAATTGTGCTGTTGTCCATTCACATCCATTAAGGTTGTCATCAACACAAGATAAAAGTAGGTTCCCATTGAGACCAATTACTTGCAATAAAACTTCCATTCTTGCTTTATAACAAAATTAAAGTCGGCAGCAGCTAGTCGACCAACTTTAAAAATTGTCATTAAAAAAAAGTTGGGAGGATAGAGCAATTATGAAGCAATGCAATAATTGGAAAAGATAAAATATGACATTTAACTAATTGAAAAGGATAAACAAAAAGTAAGGAGGTGGTTGCCATAATTGAAAAAGATAAAATATGCAATGCAGCAATGTATACTAGATGGTTATGATACCTGAACTTTCTGGAGTAATCTTGCTCATAATTATGCAAAATACAGATATCTAATATTTTAAGCAATGGGGCTCTATCATGCACATAATGTTTTTTAAACAAGAAACAATTTCATTGATGTAAGAAATTTACAAAAATGAGATTTCAAAAAGCTCTCCCAATCAACTACAAGGGAAGCATAAGAGTAAGAAACAAAGAGATTTGAACATTTACACCAGGAAATAGCATAGGAGATAACGGATTAAAGAACAATTCAAGGAATTGCACTTTTCCCCAGAAAAACTATTCGGTTTCATCCTTTCCAAAGAATCCAATAGAAAACCCTAGTAATGTTCATCCACTGTAAAGCCTTGATATTCTTGAACAAGTGCCCTAACAGAATTAAGATGAGTAAATCCTTAACATTTCTAGGAGAAACCAAAGTGAGAAAACCTAATTCAAAAGTATTCCAGAATCTACTTGCAAATGGACAGTGTTTGAAGATGTGACTCAGGGATTCATCCAACGGCTTGCCAAAGAGAGCACCACGCAGGGGATAAAGCCATGAATGGCATATGCCTTCGAAGAACATCTTTGGTATTGATGGCTCTCAGTGTTCGCTCCCAAAGGAAAATTTTGATTTTCTCTGGGTATTTTATTTGACCTTCCATGTGGCTTTAGACAAAGACTCAAGGAGGCAAGTGCCATCACCCATGTCTGACAAAAAAAGAGATTAAATAGAGAATTTTCCATTGGGATTAAGGAGCCACCTCCAAGAATTCTCTACTTAAGTGAGGACATTGGGGTCAAGATCGGGGCTGAGGTCTGCCCATTTTAATATCTCTTCATCTTTCAAGTTTCTCCCAAGTCTAAGGTCCCAGAATCTGTTGGTATTGTTCCAAGCTTCTTTAACCGTGGCCACTTTGCAGTGAAAAAACATTGTTTGAGATTCGAATCACTCCACAAGCAAGATCGATTATGTCTAGCTTGAATGATTCTTGTTGATCAAATATCTCAAGACAAGAACACTTGCTTGAGATTCGAATCACTCCACAAGCAAGATTGATCATGTCGAGCTTGAATAATTCTACATGCAACCTAAACTACATAGAATTGCAAAGAAACTTAGCCATTGACTAAAGAAGAGCACAAATGCTTCTTTTACTATATTTTCCAAGTCTACTTACAAATACAACATACATGGCTTTATATAGCCTCAAAATGAAACTACTAAAGGCATTCCAAGAGTTGTAACATTCATACTTAATGACCTTAATTAACCATTATGTAATTGTAACCTAAAGTAAATCAAAAGTCTTAAAATACATTAATGAAATACAATAACTCTAAATTACTCTAAATTGTAATCCACCCAAAATTCAAAACATGAAACTTTATTCTTCTTCAATGTGGCATGAATTGAAATATCTTTTGATAATTTCAACAATATTTTCTTCACATCTTCATTGAAGCATATTGTATGATTGATGTCTCTTGGTTCATATCAAAGTCTATACAGTTGAGGGTAACAAGAAGCGAATGAGGAGCTAGTTACTCAAGAATCAGTCCAGAAAAGATATTGGCACCATCCCCAACTTGATGACAAATGCAGCTTGTGATAAGATTTTGCTGCTTACCAATAGTTCTCCAGGGGCCCCTTCAGTGGCTGATATAGCCCACAGTTTGAATAAGTCAATGACCCAAATTTTCCTTTAACAAGGCTTACTCCACAAAGCATTTTTGTCCTGGTTATACCGCTAAACTCGTTTTGCCAAAAGAGCATTATTTTGGCCCCTCGTGGAATGTTGTCCAAGGCCCCCTTGATCTATCAGATAGAGGATATTGCTCCACCTAACAAGATGCTGTCGACTATCATTCAAACCCCCTAAAGAAATCTCTGAACAATCTTTCCATCTCCTAGCCCACCTAAATAGGTAAATGAAACAAGTGTAGGGAGATTGGATACCGAACCCTGGAGTGTGAGTCTTACTCCTTTGGATGTAAATGTAGATCACCATGCCGATAGTCTTAACTCATTTTTTTCCCTATAAGTGGAGCTCAGAAACCGCTAGTCTTGGGTGCACCATTGAGAAGAAGTCCCAAATATGGCCAATCACCTAACTTACGCCCATATTACTGTGGTATAACCTTGATCACTGTGGGTTCCACGTTGATAAAAATAATCTTTTATTTATGAAGATGGACACTGAGACCAAAGCCCGATCAAAAGTATTAACCACCAGGAGCAGGTTATGAACTAATGACTCGTCTTCAAACTCTGAAAAAGGATTGTGTCATTGCAAACTGAATGTAATTGATTCTCAAGTGGTATTGGCCGACCCAAAAGCCTCTGATATGACCTCCATATTCAGCTTTGGTGAGCAAACGGCTAAGATTAACCATTATATGATAAAAAGAAGTGGGGATAAAGGATCCTCTTGTCTAAGGCCGAGAGATGCAAGAATTTTACACAAGGGCAGCCATTTATCACTATTGAGAAGTTTGCTTTGGAGATACACTCCAATCCATGTTCTCCATTTTAATCCAAAACCTTTAGCAGCGAAGATTCATTCAAGAAATGCTCAATCCACCTTATCAAAGGCCTTGCAAGTATCAAGTTTAATGATCACACCATTTTACTTCTTTCTTTGTCATTTATCAATGAGATCATTATCCATAATTGATGCATCAAGAATTTGTCTAATTTCAATAAAAGTTGTTCGGTAATCAGTAATGGCCACCTATCAAGCATCAAGTTTCTTTGGAATTAACTCTACATAAATTTCATTTAAACTGGCATTAATAATCCCCTTCTTAAGAACAAATCTTGAAACAATTTCATGATATCATCCTTAAGGTTGATCCAACATTTTTTATTTTAAACAATTCCAATATAAACCCATGTGATTTTTTTGAGCCAAGGAGCGTAACTACATTCCAAACTTCAAATTTTATCAACTCATCTTCCAAACTTGCTGATATGTCTATCAATAGGACTCCACTCGATATCTATGGGGAAGGTTGTCAAATTATCGTTTGTCACATAAAGTTCTCTATAGAACCCAATGAATTCTGAGACGGTCTCAGCACGAAGGGCATCTTCTTCAGGAAATCCCAGCCCATTAAGAAGGCTTCTTCATAGGTGGATAAGATTACCATAATAGTGTTCTTCTTTTCTTAGTGGCCATAATATGGTGGAAGAAGGTGGAATTAGTATCTTCGTCTTCAATCCATTTTTTTCTTATATTTTTGCTTCCATTTTTGTTCCTCGTGGGCTGCTAAAGATAAAAATCTTTGCCTTCATCGTCTTTCCTTGTGAAAGTTGTGCTAAAGAGATGGGCCCAGATTCCTCCAAGTTATCTAGGATAGATATTTCAGTCAACAATTGAATCTTCTTTGTAGTTAGAACTGAGACTCTTTTTCAGATCTTTAAGCTTGATTATAAAGCCATGACTAGGCTAGCCTCACGGGGGGTGTTCTTCCACCAATAATCGGATAAAGGCAATAAAGAATGGTGTAGTAACCACATGTTTCAAATCGGAAAAGGGAAGGACACCATTTACAGCTACCAATATAGAGAGTTAAGGAGGAAATGGTCAGATGTTGGGCAATCAAGTTTGTGAAATTAAAATCTCTAGCAATCAACCAATTTTCCGTGCATAAACGAGATCGGTTGTATAGTTCTTGCAAAAAGGTGGCCTCTCTTGATATCTGTGGGTCATATACATTCGTGATCCAAAACTGAAAACCATCAGCAAGGTAAGGAGAAGGGAGAGAGGAACAAACCTTTGGTGATGTGAGAAGTGACAATGGTTGGACCATTCCACATGATGATGATCCCTCCCGAAGAGCCATAAGCATCTAAACGAGTCCAACTAATATTCCTATCGCTCCATAATGACTTAATGATAAGTCAATCAACATACGCCAATTTAGTTCTTATAGTATGACAGCAGTTGGATTGAATTTAAGGAGAAAGGTTTTAATGAGGGCCCTATTTTGCCAATCTCCAATGTCTCTTACCTTCCAAGTAACAATATCATGAGGTGACCTCCCCCCAATGAGAGGTTTGACGAAGATTTTTTTGTAATTGATATTTGACGCAAGCCCCACCAGCTCTCTATACTAGCTTCCACTGGGCTTCTACAAAACCTCCACAAGAGTCTCCAGTGGCTTCAATGTTTCGGGGTACTAGCAATCTAAAAATTGCTTTTGTATTTTAATCCATCCTCCATAAGATGGAAACACGGGGCATCTCGACTGTGCTTCTACACTATCGTTCGAACTTTAATTTATAACCTCCAATTTTTGGTCAATCCCTAGTGGAACAAAGAGATGGGATTTTCACACATTGATCACATCACACGCAGAAGGGATTTAAATGACGGGAAACGTGGAAGAGCAATTGAAGACAACAAGTGATCTTGTACCATTCGCCATGAAAATTTCTTCCCGAAACAATCACTGCTTGGTCCTAGAGGGAAGTGTCAAGCAACTGTGTATCAAAAGGGTCCACAAAAGCATGGTCATTGGCAATCACGATTATTTTGAATGAGGCAACAATTGCAAATGGGGGCTTTGTAGAGGTGGATCCATTTAATGAAGGAAGCACAGGGTATTTTGGTTGGTGGGTTTACGAGAAGGCATAAAAGCAACCCTTGATGGGTGGAGGGTTTTGGGTATAGGTGATCTAGCTTTAATGGAAGGGAAGGGGTAGTTTGCTATAAGCTTATAAAAAGCATCTCGTTCTTTCTTTCTTCGCCCATAGATATGAAGAGTTTGCTTAAACAACCATTGTCATGAGGAAGGGTGACCTTGACAAAGATTACCCTTTTTGTTTGAATTTTTTTCAACCAAAATGGTTGCTTTGGAAAAGTGCTCTACCCTAAGGAACTTCTGCCTACAAGAAACAAAGAGCAAGACATGTGTAGTAGCAACAAGCCATTTCAAAGTTTCCAATGCAAAGCTATGAAGAAGGACTTGTCTCGAGTAAACTCTAAAATCTTCACACCACTCCCACGATATCTCTTGTCCAGCTCTATGGAGTACTTTCTTTTGATGGTAACAGTTCTCTTCTTAAAGGGTGGGTTTATCGCCACTGCAAGGGTAAGTGGCGGTAGGAGGGGTGAGTTTGGTCATGGTTACCAGAGGGAGCAAGATGAAGGGTTGGGGTGAGAGGGAGAGAGAGCCAGCATTTATGCTTTTGAAGTTTTTTTTTTTTCTATCATGCACACAACGAATTCTATAAATGAATGCAAAACACATTTGACGCTCATAGGACAAAGTGGAATCTATATTGGAAAAACACTGAAGAAAAAAATATCAATAGGAATAGCCTCATACAAGAAGAACCGATCTCAAATACAAGGGTACAGTTCATAGGCACAACTTACAAAATTCCACCAAGAACGACACCTAGTGGGTCTTCATCTGCAGCTAAGCCAATCGTCGCTAACTGACAAAGGCAGCAAAATCTCAGTACTTTGGAGTGAAACAACAAGTTAGATAGAAAGGGTCATTCTCAGTTTTGGTACTTACCTGACTCTTGTCGCCCCATTCACCAAAAAAGGTAATGGAAAATGCCTGCAGAAACTCAAGGGAAAAATTAGAAAGTTAATAAATATTACAACTATATTTGACTGAATTATCAAAGGCTATAAAAATATAACCTTTAAATATATTGGTGACAAGAACTGCAAGAGAAATGACCGATTCTGTTTCTTCACATCATCATCATCAACCTGTCATGAGGTTAAGTGTTATGATACCAAATTACCATGCAATTATCCATATATCAACAATTTCCACATGCCAATCCGTAAATGAAAATAGAAATACTATAGCTTCTCAAAAATAAATTCAACTAGTGTTTTATCCCGTAACAAAACAATAAGAATAACAATCAATTTAGAGAGGGAGAGATTTATATCAACAATCTGCAAGAAGGTTTCTAAACTCTCAATCATCTTAATATAGTTGGTCTATGTTCATCTGAGATCAAAACAGAAAACGTTATAATAATTCAGAGATGGAGGGAGGTTAGGCAGACCATAGATTGCCTGTGAGAGAAAGCAAAGGATATGCGCTATCAAATGTGTAAAGAAGATATAAGAAAAAATGACTACAGGAAGCAGATTCACATCATGCATCTAGGAGTCCTCTCAAATCCTTACAAGATGTCAAGTAGAACTTGTTGAACTTTTTATATTAACACAATAGAACACAGTAAACTTTTTGAAATGACTAGACTGGATGACAGTTTATAAGGGGTAAGAGGACGTATAATCTCTTTCTGATAGTACAATATACCTTATTGCCATCTTTGGAACCTTTTTTGTTAGCCTTCAGATCAGTATCCTAAGCACAAGAGACACCTGAGTAAAGAAATGGATTCCCACCTGCGTGTGTGCAGAAGGGATTTAAAAATTTTAAAAACTAACCAATCTAGCTTCAACTTCAGCCAATTCTTCAGACTCCCTGCCAATAAAATATAAACAAAGTAGAGTCAGTGGAGACAGCTGTTGATTTGGTTACTTATATGCACACATAAAATTAAAGTACTATTTGGAGAAAATATATAAAATAACAAAGGAATCGTTACCCTCCATCATTAAATGCATCCCACAAAGACCACAGTCCAAAACCAAGGAACAATAGCGTTGTTACATGATGAGTCCATTTACGTGAAATCTGCATAAAATTAGAGTACATCACAATGCAAAGAATAACTGGGGAAGAAAGGACCTGAGAGAGCAAAAATGATTCTTGTTCAAGAAAACCAAAGAAAGTGTATCATTTAGGCTTAACAATAAGAAAGATAGTAGCTAAATTGCCTAAGATGATATCAAGAGCTCAAAGAAGTACCATACCATTGCAAGTTTAAAACTCTCAAATTATTTGTCGAAAAGAAATTCATTCAGATGAATGCTTTAATACTCCAACTTACCAATGCCACATAGCATATCAAGAGCTTATTTCTAATTGCATTCGTGTAAGGCTTCTGTCCTTCAACAGAGCAAAATAAAAAATCTAACTTGACAGTTGGTTTTATACTTCAACATTGCAAATCTACTATTTTCGCATCCCACAATATTAAGCAAAGACAACAAATAGCCATGCAAAATTAACATTGCACTTAAAATTGTCACTCATTCAAGCCCTAGCAGGTAAAAGAAATTAAACAGGCAAGTATGAAGCGTTCAATTTGAGCGATCAAATTTCCTACCAGATTTGGTGCAGCCCAACCAACCAGAGCAGAAAGAATGGTCATTACCTTCAAAACAGAAAAAGTACTATGTTAGATGCAAAGACGTAGACAGGGAGGCTGGTAAAGGCACAAGCAATGAAGAAACGATGTATGACAACTTTTGACAAACATACTTACAATCAAAGCCGACAGACAACCAGACAAGACAAGTCTCCTTGGATGCCGCATTGCCATGATCTTTAAACAGAGGATTAAAACATGAGAAGTGAGTCGGCATTCGTAATTTCGTAGAAAACGATTAGGAAAACAATATTTATTCAAAAAGAGTTGAGAAATACATCAAAAAATTGTAGAAAAATTTCGGCAGTTTAATCTTGTCAAGACTTGAGTACAAGGACCCCTCTCTAAAACAAATCACAAATCATATGGTGCTAAAATGTCCTCCATGACGACTTGCGATACCTAGGTCTTTCACATAACAGATAAAACCAAATATATTATTTCAAATTCATGATTTTATGACACCATAGCGTCAAATGAAATTGCAGTGCTTGCATAAAAAAAAATAATAAAAAAAAAAACCAGTTTTTCACTTTCCTTTTAAAAATATATATTAAAAACCGTTTAATAAAAATAGCCCTGCTAGAACAATTTTTGCACCAGCTTCTTCCGAGTTTTTTTCTTTTTTAACTGAAATGCATCAAGCCCCACTATGAGTCACCACTTTCCCAACTCGTTGTTAATGAAGCATACAAGTATTTTGTTATTGGGTTATGCAGCTCCTTTAAGTGTGGAACACAATCGTCAGTAACTAAACAAGTCAAAAAGTTATAAGAGTGTACAATTCGATATTCTCCTTTGAACATATCCATGTACAAATGTATCAAAAGAGAAACGTTGACAAACTTGGTGAAAGTGAGGAAAACAAGGGGGAAACCAACAGCGACGGGAACACTGTCTAGGAAATTCAACCGAATCGCATTTTCGTCACCGGGGAAGCGGGGAGGAAAAGTCATCCAGAACGAGTAGAAGATCCACACCGCAAACGACTAAAAGTGCCTTTTACTCGTCCTTTATCAGGAAGGAACTTATGCTTGAAAAAAGGGGGAAAATGCTTCCTTGTGGGCCTCAATTAAGTCCTCACTCGCACTGATAAGCAATTAAGCCGATAACTACAAAACGTAATCCTAAAACAAACTTTAAAATCCACTAAGCGAAATGGCACGGCATACATATTCCATTTGGAAGTCAACTTTCGGATAAAAACGGATGGCTGGCTTATACCAGAAGACACTAGTTACAGATTTATCGAAAAAATAAATAAAAAAAAAACAGAAATTCACAACGATCAACTAACCGCAGCAGCGAAGAATGTTTTATCCCCGATCTCGGAGAGCACAGTCATCGCAAGCGACTTCGTAAAACCCTAAGAAAGCAAAGCAAAACGAAGAAAAAATGATGAAATTAAATAGGGAAAAAAATCCGAAGAGAATCAGCGAAATTTGAATAGGAGAGATGAAACACCTGGATGATGGATGTGGCCATCGCGATCGTTGGAGAAAAAAGGAAGTGAAGAGGCGAGTGAGGAGAAGAAGGAAGCGAAGGTTAGAAAGGAGCGTCAGAGTATGGATTCTCCGACAGGCTCCGGATCCCCAAAGTGGGATGAAATGGATCAGTGGCTGTGTAACTCACCAAGTCCCTTGGAAGTTCAGAATGAGACGAAGGGAAAAAGAGGGATTTTGGAGAAAGGCCTTTTTGGCTTTTTCCTCTTTGCGAATGAAGAATATTTCATTTTACACTAAATTAATAAATATACTCAACCATATTTTGTCCTAAATTATTAAACTTTTTTAAATTTTAAATTTTAAATTTTTTTAATAGTTTTCATACCATACTTCACACATATACATACATCATCTTTTTAAAGTAGCATTATTTTTTAAAATATTTTTTAAAAAATTAATCTATCGCACTTTCCATTCCTTTGTCTCCAGACTCTTATTATTTATTTCCTCTCATTTTAAATAAAATAATATTCTCTCAACTTCAATACCCACATAGCCACATGGTTTGGGTTTATGATAAGCTCTTATCTTATGCAAAAAAATAAATAAATAAAATAAATATTAAAATTGACCACGCCCTAAACTAACCTAATGTCTACGAAGTTAAATTGTGTTTTGGTCTTTACTTCTAATGTCGTCAGTTTACCGGTGTGCCTTATCTTTACCTGAAAAATAAAAGTAGCACACTCCTTGAGTATTTTAATAAATACTCAGTGAGTGACATCATTATTAGGGTCAGAGAATGCGAACACATGCAACTTATGATTAAAAATCTATCGTTAAAACCATCATAGAAGTGGCCTCCAATCCATACGAAATTGAATGTGTAGTACTTCCTTACACACGACCCATGCGTGCGAGCGTGAATCCATCAGGCAGTTCACACAATCCATGGGCCCATCTTAGTCGGGTTAGTTGTCTGTAGTAAGATATCCAAAGGTCAGCAAATCCTCGAATATCATGCAAGACATAATCATCATCCTTATAGTGTATGCGTTCGTGCTCATCATCATAAATGGTGAAGTAACCCAATGTAAATAGACACACAATATACATGAGATCTCTATAATTTTCATCTTAAATTATTCTTATGACACGACCTTATACATTATTCACATATTACTCTAGGTAACGTGCATGCATTAACCTTCACACATTCATTATCATTAACATCGTCATCATGCATCTCATGTCATCATGTCGTCATAATCATACTAACTCACATCATCATAACATCATGACATTATAATATTGTATAATTTTACATCATCATCATAGTACATAAGTATAAATAGCATGTGCAAGGGCTACTAGGCATGTGTCGTCATACATAAGATAAGTTTTCTAACCAAGCCGATAGTAAGACCACTTACTTAATTAGCTTAAGTTGGTGTTACCAATTTATCCTTTATGAAAGTTCAATTTTGTCATTTGAAATCTAAGTCAACCTACGTAAGCTCGCTACATAAATTTCAAGTTCAAATTTTTGCAAAAGTATTTAGCTAAATTTTATAATGGTTCATGGGTATGGGTTAGACTTCATGTGGATATTAGATATTTTGTATGATTAGAGTCTTGAAAGGTTTATATCTCCGCAAAATATATATATATATATATATATATATATATATATATATATATATATATATATATATATATATATATTTTATTGAGCAAAATTTATTTTAACCATGGTTTAAATTGGAATTCAATTTATTTGCTTTAATTAAATTTCTTGCTTTCAAATTATGTATTAAACATCGTTTCCATGATACCCTAAAATAAAATAGATAAAAATAATAATAAAATGTAACCAATGTGGATATTACATATATATATATATATATATACACTAAATTGTATATAAAAAAAAATATCCTCCAACATTGTCATTTGTTAAAAAAAATAATAATAAAATAGCATCAAATTTTTATAAAAATTTAAAAACTGCTCTTAAGAAGTAGAAATCCTTTAAAAGGTTGAATAGAAAATGAGGAGTATATGATATAATATAATATAATATAATATAAATCATTATAATTAATTTATGAACATATATTCCATTATAAAATTTGTATAATTAGTATTTTTTGCAATATCTTATAAGTTACATATTTTAGTTTATTATGATATATATATATATGTAATACAATTTATAATATGTATGAAATAAAAACAATAAAAAGTTATTTTTGTTAGAAATGTTTAGTATTTGAGTAAATAAATTTGTAAAATATTACACATATTAGTGGAGGCAATAAATAATGAATGAGAAAATAATAAAGAGAGAAAAAAAAAAAAAAAAAAAAAAAAAGGGA